TTTGACTGATGACAACAATGAGAAAAGATAGAACGTGTATGTACACAATTAATAATAAAAAAGATCGGGAGCTGCTGTAATAGCGAGCGTCGCCAGTACACACCACACAGTACCACGTATTATAATATTACGATTTCTGTTGGTTATGTTGACACAACATAAAAAAACTAGAGAATAAAAAAATATAAAACAATATGGCGGTGTTTAAATTGATTGAGCAAAGACATTATAAATACGTTTTTGTATGGAGTGGATCGAGTATGTAATGAATAGGAAGAGACGGGAAGAGCGGGGATAAAAGAGTTGCCCTTTGTGCGTGCTGTACGCTGTCGCTGTTGTAGATATAATGACAGAAATGCTGACGCCAGCAGCATGAACAGCTGTAGAGTACTGCATGTATTATGGCTAATACGAGAGCTCTTACAATTTGTGAAAAAAAAATGTATTCTAGCATTTCTAGCCGATTACGATCTTTTCGTGTGGTTTATGAAAGCTAGTGCTATGAATGCTCAAATAAATCACGGCATATTAATGGCGAAAGCCAATGATTTGGTCAACAAAATGGGAGAAATGACTTTTACTGCATCAGATGGTTGGTTGATTGGTGGAAAGAGCGCCACGATATTGTTTACAAAAAACTTCTTGGAGAAAAACAAGAAGGAGATGCGAGTTTTCCTGATTCTTGGATTAAAACTGTTCTAAATAAATACGCTCCGGAAAATATCTATACATATTGTAAAGTCTATTTAATCTTGTTTATAAAGTGTTTAAAAAATTAAAATTAAATTATTAAAATTATAATAAATAAAACAAATCAAAAATAATAATACATAAATATAATTTTAAAATTTAATTGACTTGGGAATTTCGAAAATGGCCCATCTCAAGTTTTTATCAAAATATACTTTCCTGTGTTTTTTTCATTTACTTATATATACCGACATTTTATGAGCGAAAAGGGCTCAAATCTGTTTCAATATTAATTAACTGTAATCCAAATTTCAAAAAGGACTCATCTCAGAAAATTTATAATGAATCACTTTTCTAATAAAATTTCACTTCAAGAATATTGTATTACGTAGGCATAACATTAAATAATAGTCCGTAATTTTAGAAAAAAATTTTATACAATAAAAAACAAAATTAAAAGGTGCTCTGCTGTACAGTAGGTTACAAGTTGATCACTGTATAATGGATAGCATTAAATTTGAATTCAATGATAATATAATATCATTGTATAAGAAAAACGATTCTGAGTGGAGATGGTATGTCAATCTAGGTATAAGACATATTATATACTTATCTATCGTATTAAAAAAAATTTACCTAAAATAGGTGCCTATAATAAATTCCAAATTAATCATATCACAATATCCATTACTTATAATGCGTTATACATCAACAACAAACCCTGATATTATCATAGTCCATACTCCGTAGATATATAATAGTGTACTTTAGAAGTTTCAACTACCCACAAATAATATTATAAGATCACAACAAATAACTAAAATAGTTATTCTAGCTTTTTTTTATGTAATTTTGTCCAAAGTTGAACTTAAAATTACTATAAAAATAAACTGTGCTTATGTATTTTTTAGATTTTTTGGTAAAAAAATTAACTACTTACGTGGAATCTTATTTTAAATTTTCAATCCTTAGATATAAAAGTTGAACAATTTATACATATTTTGTAACAACAAAATAATTACTCAATTTTAAATTTGATAAATTTTGCCAAAATTCGATCTTTAAGTGCTTATAAGAAAATTGTGCCTATGTATTTTTAATATTATACTGAAAATCTCCGTAAACAGCTCAAAATGAGTCAAAATATTTTCAAAATTGTACGGTGTAAAGGAAATGTCAATATAAATATCCAGTGAAATTTTCATGTATCTACAGTTATTTGTTTTAGAATCAAAACAAAATAAAGAAATCGCTAGGCACATGAGAAATCGAGTGAATATCCTATATTGTAAAAATTTGAATTTCAAAGGCTCATAAAAATTTAATTTGACTTTCTTATAGACATTTTTTTTTGATTAAGGTAGATAATCTTATATGGAATCTTGTATTACATTTTAAAATCTGAGATTTAAAAAGAAAAATTTTTACGGCTTCTTAACTCAAAATAATTTTGCTAATTTTTCCATATTTTGTCAATTTTTGAACTTTAAATCTTTATAAAAAAAAACTGTGATTAAGGATTTTTAATATTTTTCAAATGCCGTTGTAACAATATACTAGGAGCCTTGTATTAAATTTTTAATCTTTTTTAACCAACAAATAAAATTTTATTGATATTTTTAGAAACAAAAAAAAAAAAAAAATGAAAATGTAACTAAACAGTTCAAAATAAATCAAAACATTTTGAAAATTTTATTGTGAATAGCAAATGCTAATATAAACAACCAGTGAAAATCTCACTTATATACAGTCATTTTTTTAGAGTTACACCAAAAACCAAAATCGATTTTTACGAAAACAGATTTTAGTGTAAAAATTCCTGTTTTTCCTTAATTCTTATTTTGTTTTTCACTCCTCTTTTGAAAACTACCAAGAAATTTTCACTTTTGACCCCGAGCACTTTTACTATCCTAAAACATGATGACAGACACAAAAAAAAAATTAAAAAATTAAAAAAAAACACATTATTGTAAAATCAATACATTCATTGTTCCACTCAGAATCTAAACTAAAATCAGTTTTTTGTTTCCTGAAAAATTTTGATTTTCGGTTATGAGCTCTTTTTGAAATTCCCGATTCAATTATTTTTACATTATTTTCTAACTGTTTTTCGAGTCGCCGCTTATAGTGATTTCTGGTTATAGTGATTAAAATACTCTTGAACGAATATGATCACTATAAGCGGCGACCACAGATCTTTATTGAGTTCATCTTTAATTTCAATTTCTGAGATTTGTCTGAAATAATGAAAACATATATCAGTGTGTAATGTGTATGTAGTTATTAATGTTATTAATGTTACTGAAATAATAAGTTAAAGTTTTTTTTTTATATACCTAATTAATTTTAGTATTAGCTATGTGTCAGCGAATAATATTAATGATTTATTGTACCCTTGATGGGTGTCAACCTGTCATATTTAATTGATAATTTAAGTCACTTATTTTCAATATGGCTTTTTCATTGTGTGAATAAGGCCAATATTATACAGCTATTCAATTATTAATATAGGTACCTACCAGTCTCAATAATTGACTTTAATTGCATATAATATTAATAAATACTAATGATTGTAACATAGTATAATATAATCATAATAACAATTGAAGAATTGTCTATATAATATTAGATATACAAACACAAGACTTTTATACTTAAAAAAAAAGTTACTGAAGAAATAACTTTAAACTAAGTAATAATAATAATGTTAAGAGAGGTACATATTAATAGTAGTAGTAAAATAGTAGGTATCTACCATTCCTGGCACTCCCCCTTTTCACATCAGTAAAAGACCGCAAAGAAAACAATGTGCAAAAAGATCACAAAATAATTAATATAACATTATATTAACATAAAAAGATCACAAATCAAAAATATCATAAAAAGATCGCAAAATAAATAAAAACAAATCTAACATTTTGTTAAAGATTCCAAAAGCAAAATGAAAATGGTATTAATAATATAAAAAATATTTCACAACATTAACCAATTATTATTATTATGAAATATTTTTCTAATCTTTTTTTATTTTTATTTTTAATTAATGTATTGAGATGGTTTACAAATTTTTTTTTATCTATATTTGTATTGTAATGTCCCCAAGCTAATGTTTCAATTCCATTTTAAAAAATAAATCTTTTATCATCATAAACACTAAAAGGTTTTTTGTTTTGTTCTAGTCTAAAAGCTGATAGCTGCTTGTTTACAGTCCGGCCCATGAAGACTAGAATAAGGAGACCAAACCCAATGGTCGCCTACATGAAAAAACGTACTGAAATGAGTAGCAAGATCAAACGGCCACAGGTTGCCATGCTTACGCTAGGGTTGCTACTGTAACCCAAGTAGTATATTAAGGATTATTCATGTTTTATGCGTTTTTTGGAAAATATATGCATTATTATGTACCATGACCCTGTTTAGATTTTATACCTTCTACGATTACGCGTTTTACATGTGCACATGTGTATATTTCATAAATAATATTTTTATTTTTGTGCAAAGAATTAAATTATATAACCGTATAATCTAGTTATTTTATAGATACCTATATATATCTTTGTTCACAGAAAGTCTGAGCCCAATACTATTCAATACACTATACATAATATACGTGTTTATACCGATATACCTACCTATAAATATATAATATGACTTATCGTTACACTCAATTTGCTTCTTGAATAACATGTTTATGAAATATGCACATAATATGCACATGTATAAACGAGTAATCGTACAAGCTATAAGATCTAAAGAGGTTCATGGTAAATAATAATGCATACATTTTCCAAAACACGCAAAATACATGAATAATTCCTATACTACCCGGGTTAAAGTAGCAACCCTAGCGTACGCAGCGCAGCCTGTGGCCGTTTGATCTTGAGACTCATTTCGAGACGATACCTATCAGAAGCGGAGTTGGTGACTGGCATAGATATTAAAGAATGATGACTGGTGTCCTTATCTACTCTTCATGGTCCGACCCAGGAACATAAAATCCGACCAGTACACAATAGTCCGTATGCGAACCCCTCCTTTAACTTTTTAATGAAACATTATTATTATCATTATCATATTTACATTAACTCGTGATAAAGCATTGGTAATAATTTATTAATTGTTAATTTTGTTTGTTTTCTGGCTTTTGAGCTTATTCATTGTGAGTACACATCTTTGTTTTAATTATTTTTAATTTTAGTAGGCACGATAGTAGGTAATATCGATGTGTTCAAGTCATTTTAAACGATTTTTTTTTTATTTCGAAGCAATCCGAAGACGAAAGATAACTATTCTGGTTTTTACCCTGTAAAATGTCGTCTTTGCAAGGAAACCGCATGCCTAAAGATTCTCAAACCATAGTGTCGATGATGAATGATTTAGGAATACATGAATATGAACAACAGGTTTTAAACCACCTCCTAGAATTTAATTACAGTATGTACCTTCCTGCAGGCTGCAGTGAAATAGAACTATTGATTTATTATTTTGTTTATTAGGATACACATCACTCATTCTGGAAGAAGCTAAGGCTTGCTCAACATTTGCTAATAAGGAGAAAATTGATGCGGATGATGTCAAAATGGCAATTCAAATGGCCCAAGATGGTGTATTTCTTAAATCTCCTACACGTGATGTAATCCAATATAATATTATTCTTAATCTTAAAAGTTTTAAAATTATTTTTATAGCTGAAGAAGAGTATCTTTTCTCCCCAAGGTCGCTCAAAAACAGATTTTGTTTTTCATTTAAGTACCAATCCTAACTTGTATTTTAGGATTCATATTACAAAAAGTAGATAATCTAAGTCATGGTTTTCCTGGGTAGAAAATCTAAAGTCAAAAATCTTGTTGGTTATTATATCAAAATTAAAGGTCTCAATTCAAGTAAAGTTCAAGTGAAATTCAAAATGTACATATAGAATCACGTGCGTTTATTTCACGTGAATCTATGAATTTAACCTTATAAACGTTAATTTAATTTAGGTATCATATTCCACCATGACTTTTTTTAAGCTGGAAAACTATTGTGACAAAGGATTTTTAATATTTTTCTAATGTCATTGTAATAACATAGTATAAGCCTTGTATTAAATTTTCAAGTATTTTTACTCAACAAATAAAGTTTTATTGAAAATCATAGAAAAAAAACTAATAAAATTGGAAACTGAAAATGTCCCTAAACAGTTCAAAATTAATGAAAATATTTTGAAAATATTATCGTGTATAGAAAATGCAAACTTAAAAAACCACTGAAAATTTCATGTATCTACGGTCATTTGTTTTAAAATTACACCAAAAACCAAATTCCCGTTTTTCCTTAATTTTTCTTTTGTTGTTCTTGACGCTTTTGAAAATTACAGGGAATTTAAAATTTTGACCTCCCCAATGCACCAACAATATTCACTTTCCAATTAAACAAGATACTGGAGTTGAAAATCGAATCATTATTTCGACTACTTATCGTGTACACGACACAAAAAAAATTTAAAAAAAAAACCCATATCAATGTAAAATCAATACATTTATTGTTCCCCTCAGAATCTAAAACAAGAAAAATACCTTAAAAATACGATTATTAGTAGTTACTAGTTACAATATCACAAAGCTTAAAAAAATGCCCAGAAAAATAAAAATCAAATTTAAATGAAAATAAAATAGAACATTAATAGGTATAGTCGTTATATTTTGTGTTGCATTAATCATTATATCACTGGTCATTCAGAAGTTAATTAATATTTTCAAATAATAAACGTCCACAATTATAATTGTTTTGTATAACTGAAGTCATACGAGTAAACATAAGATGTAATAAAATAAAAATATTAGTAAAAAAAAATGATATTTAATTATATTGAATTTCTTGAAGGATTTTAAGCTAATAGTGTTTATAAAATTGTATTTATACTTATAAAATGTACAAAAAATACCTTCAAACCATAAAAATGTGAACAATTTTTCTATAAATCAATAAAGTTAAAAAAATGCTAAATAAAAATTTAATTTTTAAATTATTTTATGTATGAAATAGAATTTTTGATTAGAAAGCAATGTTTAAGAAAATTCAGAAAAAAATGCAAATTATATTCAAGTTCACACCCTAGTTATAAATAATAATTTCTGATTATGCATTGATCCTGAGGGGCTCGTCAATCAGCTGAACCGAAATCTAAAATCTTAAACACCAAATATAGTGTATACATTTGATCACTCTCAATTGTTATGAATATTTATAATATATATTTATACCTACTGACTTTATTATAAATAAATAATAGTAACAAATTATTTTTGAGCAGCGGCCCACCGGAAAAGTTCCTGGTATCCCATCGGTCCAGTCCGCCCCTGCATATCTATATATCATGAAATATTGTAAATAAGTTTAAATTGTATATTTTAAAATGGTAAATTTATTATTTCATTTAAATTAAATTAAATAAAATTTTTTTTTTTTAACTTTATATTTTTGTGTAATACTTAATAGTGGTAACTTTGAAATAATAATATTATAAAAAATAAATAGCAAAAAATAAAATAAAATTTTAAGTTAATGAATTCGAAGAAAAATTTGTTATATAATTCGAAATTTGTTTTTGAAAGATTTTACACATTTCAGCATTTTAATTGAAATTGTTTTAGGTGTTTGCTACACAAAAATCCTGTTTTTAATTAAAATGTTAGGAATACTTAATTTTAATTAGACAAAAAATAGATTTACTTATCCTTTTTACTGGAAAATGTGTTAGGTAATGCTTATTAGTATCTTACTTACTACGTTTTAATAGATTCATTTTTCATAAGTCATAATATTATATACAGTTTCATTATACTCAATATTACATGTAATAGTAGATAATATTATTAAATCTATAATATAGATTATTGTATTACTTATTAATATTTTATTTCATTTTCTACAACAAGTATTCCAATTTAACTAGATAACATTATACCTACTATATATTTGTTAAAATTGTAGTATTTAAAAACATATTTAATATGAAAAAAAAAATTTAATTTAAGGGAAAGATTAATTTGTTATTGCATCTTGTAATAATAGTGAAATATTATATAATTAGTACACTAATTTTAATACTATAGTTATATGTATACTATTTTCTGTTACTTAAATTTTTTGGTTACAATTATGACAGACTTTAATTTAATCGTTTTTGGATATCTTTTATTATATTATTTATTATATTAATTGTCCTTTGCACAACTCTGGTCAAAGTGTGTGTGAATTATTGCTAGTTAATTAGTGGTACCTACTCAAAAAAGTTGAGAACTAATGAGTTAAAATTTAAAATATAAATAAAACTGTAGGTATTTTGAATTGTTTCATGAAGGAACTAATCAAAGCGAGTAATGAATTAAACAAAAAACCTCTGCCTGCAATAAAGCCTGCTAGTGGGTTGAGAATTCCTCAAAATGGTTCAAGTTTCTTACAAGCAAAATACAGGCTCAAAACTGATTTGGTAATTTTTAGTATATTATTAGTTCCCCACTGTATTAGTTATTTTTATAAATATTTTTTTTTATATAGAATAAAGGAAGAAATGTATTGAAGAAAAACACTAAAATAACAGTAGCTGAAATGTTGAATGCGACTAAACAGATCGAAGGTGTCAGTAATCCTACACAATGTAATTAAATTTATTAAATTTAATTTTGGTGCATTTAAATCAAGTTGAATTAGAAAACATATTTTGTATAAAATTCAAATCAACTTTTAAAGTTTTGTGTCAAAGTTTATTGGCAGACTTAGACATTTATAATGTAGCATGTGTAAATGATATTTTATTTGCCCAGCACAATTTAATAGTAAATTGAGGACAGACCTTCAATGTTGTTATACCAATCTGGTAATCTGATATAATATACAAACACAATTCTAACCAATTTATTTATCAATGTAGTAACTAATAAGTTTAAAAATACTGCATTTATTAATAAGAGAAAACATATTTGAAATCTGTTAGTTTATTTATTTAACTCTTGGAACATCAAATCCAATTTCCCATATGTAGCTATTGTTTTTACTTTTAATAAAGTATTTGGTATATTAGAGTTATATTAGAGTTTATAAGTTTTATTTTTTTCCAAGTTAATTAATTAATTATATTATTAATGTATAACCCTACCCATCTGACTTTTTAGCCGTATACCCTAATAATTCTACTTGTTCCCTTTCATAAAATTTTTATGACACATTAAATATATGATGTATTAATATATGTTTTGTTACTAATCAGGCATCTAAATATTAATAATCATTATTATTATTTGTAGCTGATCCGAAGATGGATCCGAAGGATGATTTAAGTGTTTTGGACATTGATAAGGTTATTGAAGAACAGCAGTGCAATCAAGACAATTTCAATGATTTTAATTTGGATTCCTTATTACATGATCCTAAATCATTATCATTTTGAACATATACTATAGGTATAGAAAAATAAGTTTTTTTTTTTATTGCGTTTAACTAAAGTTGCTAATCTAAATAATATATTATATCTTATAAGAGTTATATTTATATTACTTTATTTAAACATAGCATTTTATATTATAAGATTCATTAAAAAAATCTAACATTTAAAGTATGGTAATTTTGTAAAATCCACATTTCATAATGTGAATTCTTTCTACTCTGATTGTAAATCTTCTTGAGTTTAAAACTATTAAATAACCATCAGTCAACTGTAGTGTAAGTTTTTGTTATTTCTAATTGAGCAAACATTAGTTAAGAATTATCTGAAAGTACTAAATACATTTTAAAACATTTGTAAGTATCTTTATTGAGTTTATCTTTAATTTAAATTTCTGAGATGGGTCTGGAATAATGAAAACATATATTAGTGTGTATGTATTAATGTTATTATTAATGTTACTGAAATAATAAGTTAAAGTTTTTTTTTGTGTAATTCATTTCAAAACTTGCTATGTGTCAGCGAATAATATTGATGATTTATTGTACCCTTGATGGGTATCACCCTGTCATATTTAATTGATAATTTAAGGTTCCCTTAATGTCACTTATTTTCGATAAAGCTTTTTCATTATGTGAATAAGGCCAATATACATCTATTAAATTATTAGAATACCTACCATTCTTAATAGTTGACTTTAATTGCATATAATATTAATAAATACTAATGATTGTAACATAGTATAATATTATCATAATAACAATTGAAGAATTGTCTATATAATATTATATATACAAACACAAAACTTTTATACTTGAAAAAAAAGTTACTGAAGAAATAACTTCAAACTAAGTAATAATAATAATGTTAAAAGAGGTACATATTAATATTAGTATTATAATAGTAGGTACCATTCCTGGAACTCCCCATTTCACATCAGTAAAAGACCGCAAAGAAAACAATGTGCAAAAAGATCACAAAATAATTAATATAACATTCTATTAGCATAAAAAGATCACAAAAAAAATAAAAATGAATCCAACATATTCCGACCACAAAAGATCATAAAATTGAATTTATCAGAATAAGATCACAAACTGCTACCTTAATATAATTAATCGCAAAACAAATAAAAATAAATCTAACATTCTTTAAAGTTTCCGTTCGCCAAATGAAATTGGTATTAATAACATAAAAAATATTTCACAAAATCAAACAATCATTATTCTGAAATATTTTTCTAATCTTTTTTATTTTTGTTTTTAATTAATTTATTGGGATGGCTAACAAAATTGTTTCTATCTACATTTGTATTATTATGTCTCCAAGCTAATGTGTCAATTCCATTTTCCAAAATAAATCTTTTATCATCATAAACACTTAAAGCTTTTATGCTTTGTTCTATTGTAAAAATATTATGTTTCTTTGTTTAAAATAAATCATTATTACATTTTCTCTAATTTAATATATAATTTTAAAGTTTCATAGTGCATCATATATTTTTTCTTGACATGTAAAGTAGTTAATAATTTTGGGAGTTGTTCATTATCAAATTGTCTTTCTGGTGTCAAAATGCCAATTTTCATATATTTTGTTGTTTTCATTGCATGTATTCAAGCAATTTTAAGAAGTATAAAATCTCGACATTGCGTACAATAAAACAATTTAAACTTCCATATCTGTTTTTTGCCTACTATCTACACATTTGTTAATGTGTGAAAGTTTAAAACTACAATATCTTTACCATAATATCTTTAAATGGAGAAAACAATGTTTTAAAAGGTCTTCAATATTGTCTTCTCACCAGTGGCGTTTCCTGACTTTCGGCGTTAGGCGTTAATGTGTGAGGAAAACAATTAGGAAAACCCCCCTTATGGGAGGTTAAATTCGTATCAACTATTAACACAGAATATAACAATGCTATTAATAATCAACATATTATTAAAATATTATTTATTAAATATTATGTTTTCGACGATCGGCGTTGCAGAATTGCAGTATAGTACCTACTAACCTATGGGCTACGACGCAAACAGGATAACGTGCAGCCGCGACGATCCCCACTAACGGTCCAAACACAGTGTATAAGCTAGCGCTAGACTAGTGAGTAGTGGCTAGTCGTTAATTTCATTTTCAACGACTTGGTCTAGTATCACGGACTAAGATAGAATTCTATCTTATTCTATCTTAGTCCGTGTCTAGTATTAACATGGCACCGAAGTTATCCGAAAATATCACGACAAATTACGAATATGAGATATTAGATACCACAAGTCGTTGTTCGAATCATTAACGTCCTACACGGCTACACCCTACACAAACACAACATAATACAATATTATTCCGTAATCGGCGTCGTAGCTGCAGACGGCGCGGGCGCATGGTCGAGTTTAGAGCTTAAAATAGACAATAGTTTATTATTTGATATTATTATTTTTACATGACAATTATTTTAAGATTTTGTAAATTCAATTATATAACCATGTAATATACTAATATGAATTACAAATTACAATATTACACACATGTATGACATCAATGTTTAGGGCGTTAACACACAACTTGCACACCCAGAGAAAACGCCACTGCTTCTCACAGTTATTGTTATTGTATTATATCTATAGGTGTATCATAGACTGTGCCACTGTGGTATTTATCAACAGCTACTATACATACCGATGGTCAGCTTTTAAACTTCTAGATGGTCTATTTGGTAACAGTGTTAGACTATAGCCTCTAACCTAACCATAGATTTCTAACTAGCTAACTATTATAACTACCATAACTATTAGTTACATTACAAAAGCAAATAACATATCATACATCACAACAATATAACAAATACTAGATATTATATTAATATTCCGAATAAACTGATATTTCTTATTAACACTTAAGCGTTGTAGATTATCACATAATTATTATAATATAATATTGTATTAGTAAGAATATTTATTCGCACATTTAGAGGGAATTGTTAGGTTGTTAATGAGCAGGACATCCGAGAGTGAACTAGCGTCCATAGTTATAGAGGGTGAGGATCTCGGGGGGAACCAGTCAAAACTCCCTTCCCCAATCCCATGGACAAGTTTACCTGTCAGATTTTCAGATCCAAACAACCCCGATTCCGAACGTATTGTAGACGAGGTCAAATCTGACGACTTATTCGTGAGGACCGGAAAGTCCGTTACAGAAATTACAAGCCTCATACAAAATGTTTCTACCACGTTAGAGGAAGTACACCGATTCGTCGGAAGAACACGGAACATTTTTGATCAGACCTTCTATGAAAACAATATGGACGCAGAGACTCAGTCACCATTGCTCAACGAGATGCAATTAGGACCACAGACACCGGAGAGGGAGAGACCAAATACGTCAAATAAAGACAACTTTCAAGGGGTCAGTCAGAAAATTTCCGTAGAAGACAGTTTGGGATCTGAAGCCATTAGCTTTTAAGTAGCATTAAGATTACTTCCAAGATTGTTCAATGGAGAAAACCAGGAGGAGATGGAAATCTTCCTGGAAAAGTGCGAATTTGCATTGGCATGTAATAATAGAAAGGTACAAAGTCGTCTAGTTCAGGGGATCACAGTAAGACTCACCGGGAAGGCCCTACAAGCAATTAAATTCAGAACCTTCAATTCATTTACTGCACTGCGAGATACTCTAAAAGCCGCTTTAGAACCGCAACATACCACTACGCATTTGTTTTTAGAATTATATTCCACGAAACAAAAAATAGGGGAAGACGTACTGACCTATTCTTCCCGAATCAAAAAATTACGAAACCTTATTATAGAGAGACTAGTGGAAAGACTCTAGAAGTAGCCAAAGATTTGGGAGCAAGCTTTAAGCAGCAAGCAGTACAGGTGTTCATTGAAGGGTTAGGGCCCTTGAAATATTTTATTAAGGCTAGGAATCCAACGATCTTGGAAAAGGCCATACAGGCATCCAGAGAAGAAGAAAGGGTTAGATGATCTGCGGAAGAAACAAAAAAACTATATACCTTAAAAAAAAAGTGGAAAGAACAAAAGCCTAAGTATGTTTCCACTGTGGGAAGTCGGCAAAGACACTGGGAAAAAGACTGCAGATCATTAGACAAAGAACCTGAGGTAAATCCAACGGATTCGAAAAAACCAAGTTCAGTACGAACAATTACGTATCAATACTGCCGTAAACCAGGACACTCAAAAGAAGAGTGTAGAAAACTCAAATATGTTCAAGGAAAGAGAAATAATGCAAGTACGTCGGAAAGTCGCAACCAAAACTCGGGAAACGAAACAACGTCGACTTCCAACGGTGTGCGGTAGGCGGGCAGTCTAAAAACTGCCGTAATAAAATTTCCATCATCTTCAGAAAATCGAACAAGACAATCAGAATCCCGAACCCCAGAAACAGAACCTCCATTACGAACAATTTACTTTGTAAATGCTCTCAGACAATCACACCGGCCATTAAGCTATTAGTCGACTCAGGCGCTGATGTGAATTTCATAAAGGTATATTCATTGAAAGATGAAATAATGATTAGGGAACAGACGGAACAAAATCTTTCAGGAATCACCTGTCACACGCCCTAAATTCATTTGGCACAACCGATCTAACTCTTTGTTTGGGAAGAGATGAAAGAACAACGGAGTTTCATGTGGCACCGTCATCTTTCCCAGTACCATACGATGGTATTTTAGGGAAACCATTTATAATTGGATTGGAAACGATTCTGAATACAAGACTAAACAGTTAATCTTGACCGATAACCAAAATCTTTCAAATTTAGTTAACCTTTCAGACCTTCCAAAAACATTTAACTCAGTGGGTAACTTAGAGACACCGAATTCAACAAAAAATTTACAGTCAAGTTGATTCAAAATTACACTACAACCTAGTAGTGAAAAGATAATCAGTATCCCTACTCCTAATCTTCAGGAGGAAGAAATATACTTGATACCCGCACAGACCTTGGATGAATCAATCCTATGCAGCAACACGGTAAACAAGTCCGTCAAAAACAGATCCAAATAGCCGCAGTATATCCAACTGAACAATCCGTCCGACTCACGGAAGAGCAAATCAAAGGATTAAAATTTGAAAATTGTACAGAAGTAAAAGTACATACCATACAGAAGGTAACAGATAAAGGTGAAACCAAGGAAAGATTAGTTGCAATTAGAGATTCACTCGATACTGAACATTTGAATATAGAAGAGCGAGAGTCACTCATCTCAACGTGCGAACATTACTCTGATATCTTTCATTTAGAGGGAGA